TAAACTATCAGGTTGTTACAAAGATTCTCGTATATACGGGGAATGTACCCACCGACGCGTAGCGAAGTCGTCGTTTGTAGGATAATCGTAAATACGAGGCCCGCGTTTTGTGCTTTCATGCTGCTCTTATTAGGCAGGTCTCAAAATTACAAATACTTGATGATTTAGCATATTGAAAAAAGTTGTTTTGAGTAAATTTGTAACAACTTAGATAGTGTTGGCATCCTACAATCCATGGCGTGTAGTACATGATTTACATAGTTCATAATTAAAATAACGGTGAAACGGCAAGATGTAAATGAAATGTACAATGATCCTTACTAACACTCTCTCCCTTACATACCAACATTAATTTAACAAGTACTATTTCCCATTTTAAATAATCGCAGGTTGTGAACGACACTAATATTTGATTACTGTCTCTCGCACAACGCGACTTTAGTGTGATAATGTAAACGAATGGCTTTATTGTGACAATATAAACGCTGGGGGCGCTATTTACAATAAAATGATCATGATCAACTAATTTGCTTTGTGTGTGCCTGTGAACCTAACTGTCATTATGTTCGATGGAGTAAATAATTTATATATTTACAGTTTTAAATATTATAATTATCTGACTTAAGAGTTTTTGGAAATATTCTTTTCCGAATTGCTTATATCAATTCACCTCTATTACAGGATCCACCACTACGCATGTAGCGGCCAAGACCATGGAAACCAGTGCCATAACAGTTAAACAATCGACGTTAGCTGGTATGCACACGTTCGCTTTTATATTTTCATTATCGAAAAAATACTTTTGTATCAATGTCTTTGTTATGTCGAAACTTCCCTCAATAGAATTAGAGTACTGTGTACTCAGATAGTCAGCCACTAACTTCTCCGCAACTGTTATTGCGTCTCTCTTAAATATGTAGTTCTGAAGAAATGATGTGCAAGTCAATATGCAGCTATGCTCAGTATGGTTACTATGTAAATACATAATGGCTAAATATCAGTACATGAAACAAACTCTGTTTTATATACATACTTCTAAAATGTCGATATCACAAATACAATTCTCTCTCTTTCTCTATTGAATAGTATAACTAGTATTCTTTGTGCAAGAGTTTCATACACACTTGTGTGATTGCGAAATTTTCATTTTCAAAATATTGCATTAAACAACACCTAAACCTATTTCTGATGTATTTTGCATTAGGTATAGCCTGGTTTATGATTTTATGATCTTTCAATAATAAGAAAACATTTTCCCGGGTCTCACTTTACCTAACTTGATTTGGTTGAATTTTTTGGCAAGATCTCTCAATGGAACATATCTCCATCACTATCACCACCGAAGGAGTTTTATAAAATTTCACATATGGTCATCTTGGTGTTTTCAAGTTTAAACATAGAGCTGCAATAAATTTTGCCTGTTTCCCTAACCAGTTTTTTTCGCAAACACAATAGAGTCTAATCAGTTCCAAATGGAGAGAACCTTGTTCTTTCCAGTTGCACGACATGGCACTAGTAGGCAGATCTCCCTTATCATTAATATGTACATTGAATTGTATACTATTGTAACAAACTGTTTAGTCGACATGAGTTTCCATACTTTCATTGTGGTAGATGAAATAATTGTATCCTCAATTGCTTTACACTGAGCACTTTGTGCTTTTAGTTCACATTATAGAACATTTCAAATAATGTTTCCATGACAAATCCATCTTCATTTGTTGCTAATGTGATAGCGTGAAGGTATGGTGTCGGTTATTCTACCGACGTCAGTATCTACATATTGTCATATTTCCCCTACTGGTCAGTGTGGCAAACAAACTCGGAATACATAATGGTTCTGCATGTTACCACAAGCAACGTTTTTACACAACAAATATACGACCCACCAACCTAGAATGGACGAAAACACACTTTGTGTGACATTTATGTGAGAGGTGTTAAGCAAACATGTATATGGAGTAAAAAGCGTGCTAAAGTCCAATATCTGTTGGTGGAAAGATTGTTATTATTATGTAGTGATGTCAATAACTGTCATTCTTAAATATCGATAACCCAATCTCATCTGACATAATAACACGACACGGAACACCGATACTGCCATCTAATTGTATCAACCGTAGATAATTTGCTCCTATCACGATTTTGGCTTCAAAATACGGTGAAAATATTTTAGGATCTTCTTCTAATGAGATGTTCGTATGCATGGGATTTTCCCAAATTTTATTTGTGGTTTGCATAATTTCACCTTAACGTGTGGTTGTATTTGTTTTATTATTATGTATACGCCACCTAACTGTAGTATTACTCAATACAAAAAAAACAGAGCCACACTGTATTCGCGTTCTGTAAAATACTTCCATTCATGGATCAAATTTTTGGGGTAAACCCCCGGTTTGAGAGACCTAGTCGAGCGACCACTCTGATAGCGGCATTAGCCGCAGAAACAAGACATCTGCGTACTATATATAACGCTGCGCCCAGGCGCGCTTTAACGCACCGAGCAGACTAAGATTGTTTGATTTTAATATGAAATCCATTGTTATTGATAGTTAACAATTTTATTCATATTATTTAAAACACCTTTCACATAAATACCGCTAAATAGGTGTAATATGAAAAAATCTTACATAGCTTAATGTTACTGCTACTGTATGACACATATGAAAAAAAAATATTTTTATGATTTCACTTTTCAGTATCCATTTTACTTCCTGTTCGATCCATACATCTGTGCGTGCGTCGATCCACATCTTTGTTTTGGATATGTCTTAAAGGGGCACTTCTAGTTAAGCCTAATCTCACAACAAATTTACTTTCTGGAATAAAATTACAATGGATAACAAAAGATAGATTAACTTTGGAAATAACATAAAAAAATAGTGTCTCATGATTCTTTGGTGCAATCCCTGGGATTGGAAGGTTCCCCTTTAACTGATTAACATTCAAACTTCACTAATACGTCTTATACCTCTGGATTTATATACACGTACATTGGGTCGTTTCGTTACATTTATTGTAGTGTCACCTGTACGCCAGCTGACTGTTAATCTATTCACTACAAAAAAAAAAAAACGGAACACACTCACAACTGAATTTACCTCTCAGGTGCCCCCGTTCTGTATACATACTCTCATTCATGTATCATTGTTTTAGGGGATGATTCCCCGTCCCCCCAGTTGATCTCAGTTCATCAACTCAATCAGATCTCAGTTCATCAATTCAACCATAGACCTAGTCAGGCGACCACCCTGACAGCGGCATTACCCTCGGAATCAAGACGTATGCGTACTAGATATAACGCTGCGCATGGGTGCGCTTTAACGCACGGAGCAGACGAAGATTGTCTGATTTTAATATAAAATCCGTTGTTATTGACAGTTAACAACTTTATTTGATGCTTATTTTAGTATTATATACTTGTTACCCTCTCTTTTATTAGTTTTTGCAAATATCATTGTATTCACATCCATGGTATGGGCGGGTCCGTGATGCTCAATAATGTGATATATTATTGTGAATAACCTGAGGCAATGATGATATAAAATTCACTGGTATGCTTCAATATAATAATGTTTTTACACGTAAAGCTCTAAATTGCCGACTTGTCTATATAACAATAACTAAGTTATGCTTATTATGTTTAGCTCACAGTTTAGGCTGGTCACTGTTCAATGTAAAGTTATCCACGTCATTATAAATTCGTTTCACGATCGATTACATGATTATCCACCTTCTCATTCCCAGAACCAACAACTACAACTTCAGTATTCGAATTGCCAACAGAGACAAAACGGACAATTAAAGTCGATTCAACAACAAGCAGACAAGCAACTTCAGATAGTATGTATATGTTTGCATTTTTGTTTTGCATTATTTATGGATTATAAATATGTTCATTACGAAGCTACCTTTACAGTACACAAACTATCGGTTCAAGTAGAATTACTGTTTTTTGCAATCTATTTATTGTATTATTGTTTGTAATACTACAAAACGATATTAGGACAAGAAGTGTATAGACGGACAGTCTGACCTGATAAATATTTATTTTGTTAACAAGAGAAGTCATACTTTATTTACCCAACTCAAGTCATCCAATAATATAAGAATATGGGATTATATTACTCCGTACAATTTAATTACTTTTTTTACTTTTTTTCTGTATATCACAGTGGCTGCCACACCGACTGCAACTCACAAGATGCGAACGCAAGTGAAACCGGTCAGGACAGTCGCGCAATCAGCCGGTAATATTCGCCTTTTGATCTAGGAATATTCAATTTCATGCGTGATCTAGCAATCATCAGCAACAAAAGATGCATATTTAACATATTAATTGCACAAACATTTTTAAAATGTATTTATTATATTTTTTAAATAACTAAATGATGATGTTATTACAAGTGGTGCTAACTAATACAAGTGTATGTTCGGTAAATTCACTATTAGTTTGCTGAATAATAGTAATAATAGTTATATGTGTACATTATACAAGAACATTCATCAATTCCGTGGTAAATAACCCGGATAGGAATTTTGCGTTCAATATGAATGGGCTTGTTTTTGCGATAACGACACCTTACAAAGTAGCAATTGGTGCTCGTATTGTGTATTACTTTTTTACTTGGTTTTTAATTTTGCAGTATCTACTCGATTAATATCAACTTAGTACACTCGTTTCCACAGGGTGCGAATTAATTAATGGCCTAATTACAACTGTATAACTGAGTTACGTTTCAGGTTGTTAATCATATTGGTATATATTCAAAAGTTGTAAACAATTGTTTTGCTACAATTTTTATATTGCAATTGTAGGTTTAAGTGATGGGCAACACTTACCTAATTTATTATGCGAGATATTCATATTTGATAAATGTTGTCCATATAATTAAATTTCGACAAAGATTATAACATTTTGTCACAAAATCATAACATTTATAACATCATGTCGTGTATATTTCGAGTTATTGTAAGCTAATATTCTCGTTAATGATTTTCACGTGTAATGTTTCATTACACGTTTCAGTAATACCAGATGGTCAGCAGCAACAATCGTATTGTCCAGACGGGAGGTGGACCGACTGGATTAACTTGTGGCACCCGAGTACAAGGAGCTCGGGTGGAGATTTTGAACTACTAGGAGCCGTAGTTCAGGATCGTGGTATTTGTTTTAGCCCTGTATATATTGAATGCAGAGAGGTTGGTTCAGCTATTGCCTATGATGAGATACCAGGGCAAAGAAAAGTAACATGCGACACAGGCCTAGGTTTAATGTGCTTCAATAAAGACCAAAAACCAAACTACTGTGCCGACTACGAAGTTCGTTACTTCTGCCCATGTCGTATGTACTCCATGCTCCTAATATTGTCATATTATGATATGTTCGTTTTAGGTGGATTGCGTTCACAATACAGAAATGCATTTATATTAAATAATAGTTATAATAATGTTTCATACTATAACATTTAGACTAGTTTATTTTTAATTAATGTTAATGTTATGTTTGATGCAATAAATTATGAATATATGTGTATACTTTGTAATTGTTGTTGTAACACACTGTTAAATTTGCGATGTTTCGTTCCAAATAACATCAGCATAGTGTGTCTCAGAATAGAATGCAAACGTTCTATGTATCAATAGTTTTATTGGTGTATGTATCTGAACTACGAGGAATCGTGTATCGTATTCATGTCCATGGTGGGAATAGTACCAACGACTTAAACATAACGTAATTAGATGTTTGTATTCTTCTCTGTAACAGCTGATCAATCATTAACAACTACAGTCCAGCCAAAGTTAGGTTACTGTCCTGATGGTGAATGGACTGATTGGGTGGATACATATAATCCTGGTTCCAGTCATATAGGTGGAGACTATGAAATCCTAGGAATGATAATGGAAGTCTATGATATGTGTCTGAATCCTACAATGATACAGTGCAGAATAGTTGGCTCCGCTTCATTTTATGACCCAACAGTCAATCAGGAGAACATAATTTGTGACATTGCTATAGGATTAATGTGCTACAACAAAGATCAAGCCTCGAAACAGTGTCCGGACTATGAAGTTCGTTTTTTCTGTCCATGTGAAGACGATGTACTAGCAACTGAATCAGGCATAGATGACGATGACTTAGGTATGTCGATATGCATATTATATGCTACAAAAACCATTCGTCGAACACAGTCACATTTTTAAGTATAATTAATATCATTGAAAAAACATGCTTCTATGAAAACTTGATTATATGAAAAATTTTAACTGCAGTTTAAACATGAAGAATTTAGACAGTAAGTCGAAAACTAAATATATCAATAATAAATCAATTTCAACACTATTTCAATTTGGTTGATATTTTGAGAAAATAAACCTCTCGCTAAATTAATAAACATGGACTTGCATTCAACTGGGTCCAACAAATAGTCCTTTGGACTATTATTGTTGGTAGCATATTTAAGTTTGCTAATGAAGCATATATGTGACCAGTGTTAAAACTGAACATATGGTTGTTTATTTAAATATTGTTTTGTAGAAAAAAAACATTTGGCATTTGTGACATATACCCCAGTTTATTGAATAAATTCGACTATGCAAATAAAATGCTCAAGATTAATAGTTCATGAAAAAATAAAGAAAAACAAAATACCGTTGATTACACTTGCTGTGATTACGATGATCGTAAACAGCAACAAAGCGCAAAGCAATGAAAATAAGTGACCTGTCATTAAATACTATATATTTATATGCGAAAATCAAGCAAAATCTTAAAAAACTTGTACAGTTTTATATAGGAAAAAAATGAATGTTGAAAAAAAAAGGTAATGGATAATTCAAAGGGAATTCTCGGCGAACAAAAATGTCTTCATTTGAAATTCTACAATAAAAAATAGATAATGGCCAAGAAATGCTCCAACGCCCGCATACAAGTGGAGAAGGCATTATGTAAGAAGAAATGTGTTATCGTTCAGGGAGAATGACCCCGCATAAATCTCCAGGTTAATGGTGGAACCGTTTCTTTCAGTATGATATTCGTGATCTAGTGCTAGGTTATATCAGTCTTTCATTTTAAATATTTCAAAAAACATAATATTGGCTATTGTGAACGAGCATTTGTTAGCATTTGTCAGAGTACAAGATTACTATGATTATAGTAGTTTGTAATTAACAAAAACAAAAAAGCAGTTTGTTTAGGGAACATTAGAAAAAGTGACAATGCAGTCGGGAATATAAACTGGAAACAATCTGAAACTCTCGCTTGGAAAATTTATTGGACGATTTAATATGTCTCTACATGGCAGCATTTAATTAAAAAAAACAAAAATTATATTTTTTGTATCAGTTATCAGCTTACAAAATCATAACAGTTGTCTACCATATCATCGACAATTTTGTGAAACGTAAACTAACAAATATCGAATAAAGTCATCAAAGAACAATTGTAATTGTAAAGTACAAGCACTTCACGCAATTACGTTTAACGTGAAGACTCCACGTTGTCTGCCATGTCATGATTATATATGCATTATATTTCGAGATGAATTCACATTAAAGTACTCGAGGAATTGTCATACTGGAGAAATACATTCAAATATATATTGATAATTTATAAGCAATTTATATAATGCAAATATGAATTTCAACAATACAAAATAAAATTCATAGTATATCAATCTGTTACATTCATTTCTATAATGGGGCATGACTAAAGCAACATGCCCGAACAATGGTATGAACTGATGCAACTAATTCTACTTGGGCATGTTTGTATATAATTGTCACATAAACATTCTAGTTTCTGTGCCGAACTGAATGAAGGGATTTAAATAAATAAGTAACTACCAAAGAATTACGGAAGCACTTATTGCCGTTTGAATATTACCCTCAGTGACAAGATACTATCAGAATCATAAATATAGTTTATATTGGATGCCCTATTGTTACATAACCAGTCACTACATTCCGTTACGAATATATAAAAACAATCTTGTCTGAAGTTTGCAGTAATTTAATTTTGGAAATCATTACAGTAATTTAATTTTGGCAATTATTTTTAAACACCAACTATTTGCGACTGCACTACATCTGCATTCAGCTATTCCATGGCCGCTGCTATTTAATAATGTCACAAACTAAGAACATTTAGCAAGAATTCTGTCCAGTTTTCATTATTGGAAATCTAGACATTGTTTTTATCACTTACAGCAACTCCGAGTACACCGACTCTAACGGGTTCCTCTACTGCAAGTCAGTCTCCGAGAATGGTAAAAGAAGACGACTTTGGTGTAAGTAGAGATCTGACTACAACAGGTAAGTGATTTAATCCGAAAACATATGATAATTTTACACATGCATTCATTTTATTGCGTATTTCAACTATTACTTGATACGATCAATATACTCTAATAGATCACCATAATCCGAATAGTTCAACTGAAGATGTACGAGCCAGCACGACAAGACCTACTTACTATGAAACAGACAAATCAATCACCACTGGTCAGTAGATCATTGTACTGTGTATATAGGTTTAACAACCTAAGTGTTGTCAATAAATTGGGGACGTTTATAGAACCAATTCGAATGTAATATGTTAATATTAATCTGATCGAGGATTGCCTGGTTTGTATGTTTGAACTTACAGTGTCATGAAATGATTAGTATATTTTCTCGATTGCTATGTAACATAACCACAAGTACAACGAAACACATTACTCATGCAATCACAATGCTTTAGTTTAATTTGACATTGAATTTGTCGGACGCGAATAATTATATCATGTTTTAGCTAACAACATCGTGAATGATTGTTATGTGAGAAATTGGGTTAATTTGCGAATCTCAATAAAATGAATTAAACATGTGATTTTCCTTGAAGCAAATCAACGTTTAGGAGAACAAACGTGATCATTCAACAATTCTTAAAACACGTGAAGAATTATATATATATATGTATTGGGATTGTCAGAAAATGACTCTGAAACCTTTAAATATATACTGAGTAATAGTATTTTTGACATTTTAACATATATACCTTGCAACACAATTGATCGGAGCCTTTGGCTGATGACCAGCGTCACTTTGGTGCAACTTGCCTTAAGAATATAAGAATTAAAAACTACCAACGTTAGAAATACACTTAATATTAGAAAGTCGAGTTCAAGAATGTACTCCTGTTTTTAATAAAGTCAGTCTTCTTTAAGTTTTTCAAATATACATGAAAATGTACTTTTAAAGCTTCCAGCTATAACTCGGCGGTACTTTAATCTTTATGCTTATGTGTTCATGTATGCATAGTAACTACTAATTTGTTTTTACATTGCAAGTAATTGGATGATGATTTCAGAATGTCTCTATGTATCAACTTGGGTCAGCATTATGGACTCAGTTGTAGAATATGCTACTCAAATGACTAAATGAGGAGAGATAGATTTGGACACTTAGCCTGGGTGGGGGAAGGCAATATAGATGTGCGTGATTTGTCGCATTAACAGATACACTATATTGTAGGAGCCATATTAATTCTGTTTACTAGAAATAACAATAATGATGCAAACAGAGAAAAATAGGAAGCATACATTTGTTGCATTTTAAAAAGTTAATTTACTGAAATATGGACATGTTTTGTATCACTTACAGCAACCCCGATCTCAATAACTTCGACGGGTTTCTCTACTGAAAGTCAGACCCAAAGTTTGATGAAAGGTGACTTTGGTGTAAGTAGAAATCTGACTAGTACCGGTAAGTTATTAACTTCGAACAAACAGATATGATAATGTTACACATGTATTCATTTTCTGGGCGTATTTCAACTATTACTTGATACGATCAATGTACTCTAATAGATCACCATAATCCGAATAGTTCAACTGAAGATGTACGAGCCAGCACGACAAGACTTACTTGCCATGAAACGAACAAATTAGTCATCACTTGTCAGTAGATCATTCTACTATCTCATACGTTTAATAACACATTAGTTGTCAATAAAATGATGAAGTGAACAGAACCAAGTTAAATATAGTATACCTATTATTCATGTTTGTAGGATTACCTAAGTTTTTTTTTTAATCAAACAATGTTAGATTAAACTTTAGTATTTTGAAATCGCTTGATGACTAATGGTACAATGAGACACAGTAGCACTTTAAATTTTCTCACAAACGAAATAGCCAAACGCTATAGATAGAATGTATGTACATGTATTTGTAATGACATTCACTTTAATGTTGGCAATTATCTTTATATGCCAACAACTTGTGACTACTCTGCTTCTGAGTTCAAGGATGCTTAGTAACTACTAATCATGGTTTTACATTGCAAGTAATTAGAGCGTAAATCCATAAGATAATTTCAGAAAGCCCCAATGTATCAACTTGAGTCAGCATTATGGATTATAGATTTTGACAATTAGCCAAGGTGGGGAAGGCAATACAGATTTGAGTAGTTTGTTGCATCCACAGATACACGTAATTGCAAGAACTTTATTAACGACATTCGGTTTACTAGAAATAACAATGATGATGCAAACAGAAAAAAATTGAAACACATTTTTGTGGAATTTTAAAAAGTTAATTCACTGAAATTTATACAAGATTTGTATCACTTACAGCATCCCCGATAACAATAACTTCAGCGAGTTCCTCTACTGAAAGTCAGACCCAGGGTTTAATAAAAGACGACTTTGTTGTAATTAGAGATATGACTACAACAGGTAAGTGATTAACATGAATCAACCAGATATGATAATGTTACACATGCATTCATTTTTTGCGTATTTCAAATATTACCTGAAACGAACAATGTGTTCTAATAGATCACCATAATCTGAGTAGTTCAACTGAAGATGTACGAGCCAGTACGACAAGACTTACTTACTATTAAACAGACAAATTAGTCATCACCGGTCAGTAGATCATTGTACTATGTACTATATTTGATAAAACATGAGTTGTCAATAAAATGATTGAGTGTATAGAACCAAGTCGAATGTATTATATTATATATTATTCATATATTATTCATCTTTTTAGGATTACCTAAGTTGTTTTCTTAATCAAACAATATTAGATTAAGCTTTAATATTTTGATATCGTTCGATAACTAATGGTACAATGAGGCACAAGGCCACTTTAAATTTTCTATCTTGGTCAAATATTAAAAATAATAGATTATTTCTCACAAACAAAATAGCAAAACGCTATAGTTAGAAATTTTGTAACTTTACTGGCATTGATTGAACATATTTTGAACCGCTACATTTGTAAATATTTGTTGTCACTGCTTGTTTAATCTCAATTATAATTGTTATATAATGTATGTAACTTTATAGACCATCATACGCCGAGTGTTTCAACTGGAAACGTGGGTACAAGCACACTATCACCTATTTATAAATTGGTCACAACAGGTAAGTAATGTTTTTTTTCTGGTAGATTTTAATATGTCTCACCAGTAGAGTGCAACTATAATTCACACGTTGACGTGTATACCTTTAAATCAAATAAAATACTTATTATAAATTTATTATATTATAGAATCCCGGATGTGTCGCTATATATCTACTAGTACTGATATGTGCACATCGTTTGTATTCCTGTTGTTTTTTTTAATCGTCTCAACCCTGGTTGATATTATTATTAGTTATTATTAATAATTAGTTTTTCATTATCATTATTATAATTTACTGTACGTAGCTAGCGCTTGTAACTTAAATTTCGCACGGTATTCCTGGATCTGTTGTTATTTTATCAAGGCAATTTGATTACTCGTTGTGTGTCGTACATACATCTTGGTTTCATTAAATTGTTCATTTAACCGGAAATGTGTTGTTTGTTTCGTTTTATTTATGTTCGAGTGGCCCAGTTCAGTCTGCTCGCTCGTCATGTACAATCATCGCGGCTTTTTAAATATCGGACAATTGTCCGTAAAAAATCATAAATGTAAGAGTAATTTCGGAAGGTATTATTGAATATAAGTACATAAGAACTATTGGAAGTATGGTGAAACAGATACTTGTGAATGGAGATCATTTCGGATGTTGTCATTAAAAAGGAGAGGAGAGATCGATGCAGCCTTTCACAAAATGTTTGTTTTAATCGGTATAATAATATAAATATTAACCAAAGCTTCGGTCGATATATAGATTTGACGGTCGTCAGTGAGCATGACAGTGTTCTCTTCGGGTCGACAAATCTGCATATAGACCTCAATATCGCATGCTATTTTGCTTCTGATATAGAACAATCGGCTACAAGTGTCATTGCAGATGTTACCTCGGATTTGAAGATAGATAGTTCCACACCATCAAGTACTGGTTAGTAAAAGCATTTAATTCGTTCATACATGTTATGGGATTTTAGTTAGTTTAGCATATTACTATGTTATTTTGCTTCTTCTGTTTAAAAACCGCATACTCCCTTGCCTATCTTGCACATACTAGCGATATATTTTACTAAAATAGAACAGACAGAAGTAAACACAGTTAACCAAGAGAAACAATAGTTCTATTCTATGATAGTATACTGCAGAGAATAAATTAGTTAAATTAATATTCTTTCTTTTACCAATACATGTAAAAAGAAAGTTACCGTATAATAGAAAATGTACGCATTCAAAGTGAATATGAACACGATATGACTAAAATGTCAAACGTTCGATTGCTCCTGAGATACAATTTTAAACATAAAAGCGTTACCTACTTGTAAAACATTTTATAATATTATTTCTTTCTACTTAATGTACATAATTTATCTGAATCATTGGACGATTGGCGTGTTTAGAAGTTAAAATACAATATTTTTGCTTTTCTTATGAAATAGAAAAGACGCCATCGACAACAGATCTTACCTCAGATTTCGAAAAAAAGATTTCAACATCTTCAGCAGTAACATCAACTACTGGTTAGTGAATGTATTTTTTTTATATTTAAACTCTTTAGATTATAATACCATACTCTTCTTGTTTTGCTGTTTAATATACCGGGGGTAAACCCCTCTGCCACATATGTACATGTGTTATTTTAGGTACTTGATATGATGTAAATACATTTCTAGTAGAATAATCCTATTATGTCATGGTACAATCCTTAGCAAACAATAACTAACTCACACAAGGAGGCATACGTAACATGGGTTTGACATATCACAAAACTAGCATGAAATTAAAGACGGCCTTAAAATCTGAAAATCGTAGTGCAACTATTCGTAATATGATAGTATTATTCCTGTGATTTTACTTCAAATGAAAAATACAATACAAGGACACTGTATATGACAATACATGAATCACTGCTGTAGTCACAGGACAAGGACACTGTATTTGCCAATACATGAATCACTGCTGTAGTCACAGGACAAGGACACTGTATTTGCCAATACACGAATAACTGCTGTAGTCACAGGACAAGGACACTGTATTTGCCAATACATGAATCACTGCTGTAGTCGCAGAACAAGGACACTGTATTTGCCAATACAGGAATCACTGCAGTAGTCACTGGGCAAGGACACTGTATATGACAATACATGAATCACTGCTGTAGTCACAGTACAAGGACACGGTATTCGCCAATACATGAATCACTGCAGTAGTCACAGGACAAGGACACTGTATTTACCAATACATGAATCACTGCTGTAGTCACAGGGCAAGGACACTGTATTTGTCAATACATGAATCACTGCAGTAGTCACAGGGCAAGGACACTGTATTTGCCAATACGTTAATACACATATATAGATATGGTAAATTAACACAGAATTCCACTCTCTTGTTACCAGTTTCTAAATTTATGGCAACTGAGCAGGTGGCAAAGAACACGTGGTCCGCGTGGATAGATTACGATGATCCAGGAACAACTATATCCGGAGGAGATTATGAAATAGTAGCAGAATTGTTGCGATCGTATGACATATGTGAGCCTACCACAGCTGTCCAGTGTAGAGAAGTTGGGACACATATTGTTTACAACGAAGTCCCAGGGCAGCGAAATGTAATATGTTCACCACAGCTAGGTTTGATGTGTTTCAATAAGGACCAAGCATCAAGACGTTGTGCTGATTACGAAGTTCGTTTCTCCTGTGAAAGAGGTATGTTTTGTTATCAGTTACTGAATCGATTGATTGTGTCAAATTCTGCATGTGTTGCTATTAAGCAATGATCCATAGATTTCATTTGCGCTTTGACTATATGATTGTGGATACAAATGTCTTCGCTTGTTGTCTCTTTATGTGTTTTTTGTTTGTTTTTGTCTATAAAATTTTTAGAGGTTCTTTGTTTATCAAATAACATTATGTATGTCAACATTAGACACATAACATGGCCTAAAATGGTATAACGTCATGGTCTTTTATTGTTAAAAGCATCATGGGATTTTTGTATGATACCATTGCAAAATTCGACAAGAATGCCTGTCTTTATGCTGTTTTTGTGTTTATTAAGAAGCGTTTCTGCTGAATAATAAATGTGTTGGTATGTTGTCCTTTATATTTTATCAGTTTCTATGCTATGTACTTTTGTTTTCATCTTACAAGTTAACGCCAATGAATTATGTCGGTCGTAGTCAAAATGAGTCTGGCTTTTTCAAATAGTTTCCCCGTCCGATAAGCTATATGTTGTAGCTAAGGGCATTGGTTTGTTGTATAATGGCTGAGGTGTGACTGCATTGCATTATCAAAAGCTAGTTTATTTTCATAGTGTTTACTCTATCTTGGGTCAGGGCGGATTTGTATATGTTGGCAAATAATCTGTGTATCAAAATTCCAATAATTTGTTTTCTCTGTTACAACTTCTACAAGATTTCCAAGCCATGTAGACTTGCATATATAATTACAAGTATCAAATTAGTGCTGTATCTCTGCCTTTGTTTAATTCGATAAATATGTTTCTTTTTTGAATATATACAGTGACTGTTTATTTCTGTTCCCAGTGCTTGCTTTGAAAATGTATTCAAATAAATTATACTGACAGGTGTTTGATGTACAATACAGCATCAATGTAGTCCTATGGCTTACTGCGTGCCTCACACTATGATATTTTTGACAGGACAGCCACTTTGTGGTTTTGCGTACTAATCTGTGCCATTGTGGTTTCACGGTTCGAATTTATTGAAATCTATTTTCACTGTATGGTCAAAATGATTTCACTCCTAGCCTGACGAGATGCACAATAATAATAATATTTTAAGGATTTCGGTATATGATAATATCTAATCGTTAATCACACAATAAAACGTTTTTAGTTTGAGCAATGATACATTACTCTTTGTATTTCAGTGGAAACTCACACTGCAGAATACGAATGGACTGAATGGATTGACAGGTCTGACCCAGAGGGTGGTTATTCTGCCGGCGACTATGAACTACTTGGAGATTTAATTGAGACACTCGGTGTTTGTGTAACACCTTTGGATATCCAGTGTAGAGTCGTCGGTTCTGGTTCCTTCCATAGTTATGTAGCAGGAAAGAATAAAATAACATGCAACACAGACGTGGGTCTCGTTTGTTATAATAAAGACCAAAAATCGAAGCAATGCATGGACTATGAAGTTCGATTTCTTTGTCCTACCGGTAGGAACATTTTACAGTATTGTTTCATTGTCTTCGCCAATGGGCCACATTTTACAAAATTACCCAAGTTCCATTGTTTTTATTAAGAACGTCACCCGTGTTTTGTTTCACAGGGCGGGCCCAGGCTGAAAATGTTCATAAACGTGCCGCTGTTCTAGAAACCGTGACACAAGTACCATCCCTTATTCTTAGCGAACAGAGTGAAACAGGTTAGTAACCACATCTAATCGTATATGAGTAAGTACATTACTGAGCCCTATTAGCATAAATACATTTGGACCGATTTAATTTGATTGAAGAGGAATGGACAACTTATATTTTATTCTTCATCACATTACGCATTTAGTCAACAGTTATGATGTATCGGCGTCTTATCGCTGACCTACGACGCATTTTAGGCATGTGTTTGACGAGATCGAGTTCAGTACATGACTCAGTTAAAAGATGGAATAAAAGTCTGTCTGTATTATAAACATGTTGTAGTATCATTTACGATAATTGTCATCTGTATTATCAATGTGAAAGGATATCTTACTTTAGAGCTACAGTCGAACTACAAAAGCTTATTGAACTTAGTTTTCCAATTGAATATAACCAATTATTTACGAGTGTAGTTAATTTTATACTATTTAAGTTTAGAAGTTATGCTAAATTTTGTTGATGGAAGAACAAGACAGTGCAACTCAAATATACATTGAAGTGGTTTTAATTACACCAATTTACAATATTAGACAACACGTAACATAAAAGCCTGTTTTGGTAACATGATACAAAATTTTTGTCTCAACAAGAGGATCGTTCAATACCATACAGAGCATCACATTATTGCTAGATCGTTCATCGCCGTTAATACAAACGATAACTGATCATCACTGGTGTGTCAGTGGTAGTACAATGTGTCTGTAACGTGTGAACATATTTTGCTGACTAGCCACAAACATCCTATGATCTAATATTATAATTAATGTCAATTTTGACACGTCACGAGAGATCTATATAGAATCGTAATAAGGAATGTTGTCTGACTGACGAGTTGTCCGGTCTATTCTCCAGTATGCTTGCCTAAATAGTTTTGCAGGTAGTAAAATATGCGTCTCTTGAAAATCGTTACATGACGTATATGTTCTGCGGTATTTTCAAAGTTGAGACACAACATAAGGTTGTGCTAAAAGAAATGTTACTTTAAAGGTATGGGGAATTGCTAATATTAAAATTCAAAACATCCTACAGCAGATCAACGTATAAAGCTCATTCTGTGCTCTTTGATGTGTGTTTAGTTTCTTACTGCACCTTACATGGAACTTGTTGCCTCCCTTACAAATGCATTTTACCTAGTTATGCAATATTATATTTATTGGAATTCAGAGACACATTCCAAACTGCCACCAACGTCTTGTCAAAACGGTGGCAGGTGGACGGAATGGTTTGACACTGATGACCAGAACTATGGTGGTGACTATGAATTGCTTGCTGACATAATGGAACCGTTCGCCGTATGTGAATCGCCAATAGATATTGAGTGCAGAGCAGCTGGTTCAAGGTTGCTTTACAATGAGATACCTGGACAGAGGGAGATTACCTGCATGCCGCAAATAGGGTTAATGTGCTTTAATAAGGATCAACTGTCCAAAATGTGTGAAGACTACGAAGTTCGTTTTTATTGCCCGTGTGGTAAGTATAATTTTAATATAATGCTTGACAAGAATAACAATTGTTTTCGTTATTCTATCATAATCATAATTTAGGAATTGGTTTCACTTCGATTATTTGTTGGTGATTGGACACACATCATAAGACACGAATTGTATTTGCACGTGTGATATAATGTCGCAAATATGTAAATATTCAATTCTAAACTTCGCTGCACATATTTATTTCATCCATGTCCATAGATTAACAAATTAGCAATTACGTTACCAATGTATCCCTGATATTTAAATATAGTGATGACCAAACAATATATACATTTATTTTCTAATCGCAATATAGTAGCTGACGGTGATTAGTGTTCATAACACTCTACAGTGGTTAGAATCCACGTTCACAAATTGTGATCACTTATTTAACTGTTCGCCTAGAAAGCTGGGAAGTGGATACATTGGATAAATAGGATACCAGATTCGTGACGATAACATATCTGATTTTTTTAAAGTTATGCATTAATTGTCATGATATATGTATGTTTCAGATGAGTTCATCTCCACCCCTGTGGTACAACCATCTTCAACCATCTGCCAGGAAGGTCAGTGGACACAATGGATCGACATAGATAACCCAAATCCTGGCCAGACTGGTGGTGATTATGAGCTAATTGGCGAAATAGTTAAACAATACCCCATGTGTGCAAATCCGACAAACATTGAGTGTCGAGTTTTAGGTTCACTCCATGATCAAACCATTGGACAGAAGAAGATAACGTGCAGCACTGAGGTGGGATTGCTGTGTTTTAACAAAGATCAGAGCTCGGGACAGTGTCTTGACTACGAAGTTCGTTTTTTCTGCCCCTGTCGTAAGTATCCTCCACGTAAATCCTATAAATGTGAAAGTGTAAAAAATGTTCAGCCTATACTTACCAGTACTGAAAGGAGACTCCATATATTCATATTAATATACTATTAACACTCTGGTGTACTTGATGTCGGAAATTCGGATTTGACGTCGTACTTGATGTTCATCTTTTGACAATGATTTAAATTCATTTCTATGAAATGTCATATGTATGGTGAACTAAACGATGCGTTGCACCATTATTCAGCAAGGTTGTTTACAAACATGATTTACTAAAGAAGCGTCGTTTCAAATATCCAATACAATCTGAAAGGTAGCCATACGAAATCATGCACACTTCTCCAGCACTAGGCTGCCCGAGATGCCAAACTTAATATAAACTATAAGGTTTTTCGTCTGTGACGTAATCTAAAATGGTGACGTCGTAAATGAATAGATTACAATCTTGTTTTACATAAACTATAAGAACACCTTAACCGATAACAAATTCAACTATTCTCTGTATAAACAGATACGATTCATGAGACATTAGCTGCTGATTTACCAGCTCTGAATCAAATCACTACAAGAATGAAATCATATACCCCTACAGGTTAGTTGTTTGTACTATAAATTTTATACTGGCATTTGCTGCTTCACAATTTGATAAACAGTGACTGCGATTAAACCTTACACTTACATTTTTATTTTTTATAACTAGTTTATATAGATCGATATGGCATAGTTATTGCTATTCCATATTCATACAACCCTCAGTGTCCATACCATTCTCCTGTTTTTTCGTCGTCAGTAAACGGCATTCATTATACAATGAGCATAACCGATCGACGTGCATGAATGACAAATGCAGTCAACATACCCAACGGTGATTGAGAAATTTGGGTCATTATTATATTTAAGGTTCGGAGAAGGTATTGTTAAAATGTGTAATAATTTGAAGGGTTGTTGAGGTCGGGGGAATTTGAAATGAGATCTCTCAAATACACAAGAAATATTTTGTAGAACGACCAACATCATGAGATATTGTTTTTTCTGAGCCATAGTGTCAAAATGTCAATCTGCTTGCCCTGATCTCATATTGTCTGAATTCATATCAGTCTGCTTGCACTGACCAATCAGATTGCATGGATTCATATCAGTCTGCTTGCACTGACCAACCAGATTGTCTGGATTCATATCAGTCTGCTTGCACTGACCAACCAGATTGTCTGAATTCATATCAGTCTGCTTGCACTGACCAATAAGATTGTCTGGTTTCATATCAGTCTGCTTGCACTGACCAATCAGATTGTATGGATTCATATCAGTCTGCTTGCATTGACCAGCCAGATTGTCTGGATTCATATCATTCTGCTTGCACTGACCAACCAGATTGTCTGGATTCATATCAGTCTGCTTGCACTGACCAGCCAGATTGTCTGGATTCATATCAGTCTGCTTGCACTGACCAACCAGATTGTCTGGATTCATATCAGTCTGCTTGCACTGACCAACCAGATTGTCTGGATTCATATCAGTCTGCTTGCACTTACCAACCAGATTGTCTGGATTCATATCAGTCTGCTTGCACTGACCAACCAGATTGTCTGGATTCATATCAGTCTGCTTGCACTGACCAACCAGATTGTCTGGATTCATATCAGTCTGCTTGCACTGACCAACCAGATTGTCTGGATTCATATCAGTCTGCTTGCACTGACCAACCAGATTGTCTGGATTCATGTCAGTCTGCTTGCACTGACCAACCAGAATGTATGGATTCATATCAGTCTGCTTGCACTGACCAACCAGAATGTCTGGATTCATATCAGTCTGCTTGCACTGACCAACCAGAATGTCTGGGTTCATATCAGTCTGCTTGCACTGACCAACCAGATTGCTTGGATTTATATCAGCCTGCTTGCACTGACCAACCAGAATGTATGGATTCATATCAGTCTGCTTGCACTGACCAACCAGAATGTATGGATTCATATCAGTCTGCTTGCACTGACCAACCAGATTGCCTGGATTTATATCAGTCTGCTTGCATTGACCAACCAGATTGTCTGGATTCATATAACATAGTGTATTTACATTGAACCGCTATGATACATATAATGAATAATAAATTATGGAAATATTTTGGTAAATATAACATGATTATCTTCAACGCTGTTTTTACGGAAAACATGAACGCCTTAATTATAGTGTGTCAGACATGTAATCCTTTTTTAATTGTGTATATAACAAAAATAAGTTGAATTACTATACATTTTTAGTATGACATTTAATGTGTAGCAGTGTTTGAATATTTGCCATACTGATATATATGCTGCATTACTTATTTCATTGTGTTTGTAGTTGACATCGTGACAAGTCATTTACCGTCATCACTATATGTGACAACAGAACGTGCAGCCACAGATTCAACCTATAAATCTCATGTTTATTCAACAACTGAAAAATCACCAAGCATCACCAGTGTGACACTTCATTCGTCAGCTGAAAAAGCAAACACGCCAGATCGAATAAACACTCTTGCTCGGTTTAAAACTGAGAATACTTCAGTTACTTCGAAACATGGAAAAGCAGATACGTCGTCTGTTGTTACTGGGGCGAAGGAATTAAATTCTGAGAACACAAAACGTATTTATGAAAATAAAAGCACGCGCTTGACATTTTATGAGAAGTATACAGATCTTGCGGATGAGGGAATACAGCTAATGACAGGTATTGTGTTATTCAACTGTAATATAATGAATTCCAATTCAGTAAATTCTTGACACTATACTGTCTTCGAAAACAAAATCCACTGTACATATAAGCTAATGTTAATTTCATCTTAGGTAATCCCGTGAAATCTAAGCAGGTAGAAGCGAAGTACACGTTTATTACAGTTATATGTATATTGTTTGTGATTGTTATGATCATCGCTGCAGTTCTTGTTATGTACAGTGCATTTAGAACAAAGAAAAATATACGAGGTAGATACACGTAAGTATGACATCTATCGTTTTTGCTAACTATCTCATTCTGGTCAACAATTATTGCACTGATTATCAATTGAGTGTATCATGACGTAATACGTTATGTTGGGGCTTGGTCAATCTGACTATGTCTCTTTGCTTAAATTAATTTAATCAACTGCGCCCCATTTATAATTATATTCGATTATGTTTGATATGTTGTATGGTGAAATTCCGAATCTCGGTTTCACAGATCTAAAAGTTGAATTTATATGAGGAACTCGGCATCTGTGTAAAATATTATAGAATCTTACACTATTATTTATTTACTTAACTCGCACTAACACAAATAACCGTAGCCTAACAGTACACGCTCGATGACTGATACTAGTTCTGTCAAGCGTGACCTATACGCCCGCGAGTACCGCTTATGCTGAAATTATTTGACTCCCATAAGTACTTGATGGGTCACGGATGTTGTTTCTAAATTGTCTTTTATTTTTTGTTTGTTTCTTTATTGTTGTTGCTTTGCGAAGACGAATGTAAAATACACAGTGTCATTATTCTATCAGTAACTATGCATAGTATAGTATTCATAGTATCCATATTTGTTTCGCACTGCACTTCTGTTTTACTTAATAACATGGCGTCAAGTTCGGTCAAGTATTTATGCTTCCGTATTTTTTGTCCAATATCTTTGTTGAGTCACCTAAATATTCAAGGTGTCACATATGAATTTATTACCTGATATTCTTGCATAGATGACGAAACACAATTATGAAAATGTTGTTTCTGGGAATATTTAAGTGATTAAATACTAGAGATTGGAATAAAATGAATTGTAAGCAACTTAGTGCAAAATAAGAGTCTCAATAAAGTTATTAAATATGTCGTATAAATGTTCGTGTTGCAGGTTAACACCACAACGACAGCGCGATCCTGGAATGAATGTGTGACGTCACTAAGAACATGCCAAGTAGGTAGTTAACACGTTTAATATGAGTTTATCACAAACATACCGCAAAGTACGCACGAAGGCAGTACGGTGATTGTACCCACCCACGCGTAGCATAGCGTACTGGTAGTACGGTGATCATATTGACCGATGCGTAGCATACTGCCTGAGTGCATACTTTATCGTATTCTCGGGGTAAACTTATTACTGTACAACTTTTTTACTGCTTGTAGTAATAATTTATTGAGCGATATACCGAAATAACAACGTAAACGTTTTGCGCTCCGCGAGCGTTTGCGCAAGTAACAGAATATTATCTACATCATACGCTATAGCGCCCTGGTGTTCAGTGTATGTTGACTTCAAAACAGACACCAGCCATATTTTCGAGAAATGTATGGTTGTATTTTAGTGGAAAGTCACTATTTTGGCATTATAATGCTTTTACCTATGTTCCCAAAAATATGGGTTTGAAAATGTGTCAAAAAATGCAATTTTTTATAGTATTGTGTTCTGTGGAATAGTTCTAAAATATTAGGACACATTTCTCAAAAAGAAAACTGTGACACACAAAATAATGCTATTTCATTGTACTGTGGGGCATTAGCTTCATGGTTGTACATAATATACTAATGAACATTAATTCTAATACTAGATGTGTAAAATGTTCACAGTGATATGTTTTTTTACAAATTTATTCCTTGTAGACAAAGTATGAAAGTACCCGCTTATTTTTTTTTTTTTTTTTTTTCAGGTTACAACATTCCACTTCCTGTGTCACGCTTGATTTGCAGTCCAATTCATTGTACTTCAGAAACGGTGAGAAGATCACGTAGCCGCCATATTAATATCATCATTCGTAACGTTTTTTAAATTTGACATATAATTATTGTGATTCAGCCGTTTTTGCACTAAGGAGAATAGCATATGTTCAAATATTATTACACTATTGTAAATTAATAAATATTGTGCTCGTGAATGTTAATGTCAAGATTCAGTTAGTATCAAAATAACTATGTTACTGCTGACTTGTCTATTTACAACAACTTTTCATATACTTACAATATGAAAAATAGTTTATTTTAAATAGAAAAATATTTTTCAAATTTCACATTTTAAATTTGAACCTAGTGTAGGGAATTAGAGCAAATAAGAAATGTGACCAAGCTTATAGAAGGCATCATATATCGCCGAACAGATATACCACATAGGCAGCAAAATATATTCGAAGATGTGTTTCAAGTACATTCTGTTACAATTCAAACTTTTGTGATTTTTCATATTGGGACACCTTTTTTTCTGTCAAAGTGTCAAATCTGGTTCATTGAATAAAACACAAACGATGCTGGTGGACAAAGTGATGACTCCATATAATGTTGATGCCTTCCCAATGAGAAAAACTCTTGTATTCTCGTTAGCAGGCATTTTCACGGCCTGGCAACCATCACAGTGAAAACAAAGAAACTCTAAAAAAACTGTACTTCGGAATAGTTTTGCGATTCCCTTGGACAGGGTAGCACGATTGCTATTACATGAATAATATATAGAAATTCGGTTGCTTAAATCAATGTGAATCAAAATAAACTTAACTATATGCCCGATAGTACGATATACATAAACTGTGCAAAAATATTAACTTTAGTATTTTATTGTTCACACGTAAAAGTATAAAAACGTTTTCAATAGATTAGTTACAAGATTACTGTGAATTTCAAATGATATTTTTACTACAATTCACTGAGTTAATTGAGTCATTTTAAAAAGAGTATAACACATTTACCGCGAGAGTTTTATTGAGTGTGCCTAATTTGCATATGTTAAAAATTATCCAGTTTTGGACCCTACCATGAATTAATGCCATTTTTTCCTTGATTAGTTTAACCAAATTGATTTTTTTTTCATATATATCCAGTTTTGTTATTTTTCAATTAAGA